CTCCTTTGTTTCCCCCGCGGGGACAACATGACTCGCGACCGTGGACCGAGGTGACGAGTGAATATCAGAAAAATGCTGGGGCGGGAGTTGCATCACATTTTGATTTTGATCTTCGCACACGAAATCCCATGCTGGGGCGCAAAAGAAAACACAGAGAGAGAAAGCGCGCGGGGGAAGTTTAAGTGCAAGAAACAGACAAGAAGCTCCTCTTCGCCCGACTCAGAAGCAAATATTTGCCAGAAGGTCTCTTGTTGGGTTGAACCTTTTAAGCATTTACATTTTATTTTCGGGGCTTTTTTGTGGACTCCACATCCTCGCTGCTCCTTCGCTGATGGTAATGTGACCCCAAAAAATGCAAACACCGCCAATGTTCAATTCATCATCGCTGAGGCACGCGCGCGACCCGAGAAGAGGAGCTGATTTTAGTGCCTTCTTCGAGTGCGTCCCTCGAGACCAATGCGACTCCTATTTCCGATTGCTCCATCATGAGTCGGAAATATAAAACACAAGTGGCGGAGAGCAGATGTGTGGGCATAAAATGCCTATAATCAATCCATCAAGCCCATTTCGAGGAGACATTGAACTCTGGGCGCTTCGGAATGTTTAGTCTCTCCGCCCTTCGATGGCAGATTTTTCCGGCCACTGCCACCGAATCCACTTTAGCCACTTTGGCGGCAGTGATTTTCAATGAATTTATCGCTTTGCCACAATAATTAATAAGCTCACGCGGAAATGCCACAATTCATCATGGCTTAATTTCACTCGACAATGAAATACTCTTGACGCGGAAATAAATTGGCTGCGTGCCAAAACATGCAATTAATAATTAATATCCTCGAAATCAACAGAAATCATATTACCAAGTGGAAATAATAGTTTTTTCCCCGGAAACATTTCTATTCATCCCCGGAAAATCGTCAAATGAATAGGATTTTCAGCAGAAAGATGATATTATTTGACATAAATACTGCATTTGGATTAAATTCACAGGAATTTGCAACATTTAACATTTTACCAGGAATTTAAAATCAATAGGTAACAGAGATTGAATCGAAACAAAGGTGCAAAAGCTTATATATCCATTGAATCTTGGCTTACATTTATCCATTCTTCACATTAAAATTCTTGTGAAATTCTCTTCACGTCAAAACTTTTATCAGTTTTCATCATCATTTGACGTCACGCGTCGACCTCGCTTTCCCAATTTCCGTTGCCCTCTGACTTTTTCATACGTTCACTCAATTTATTCTTCTGTATAATGGGACAGTTTGTCAATAGGCCCAGTTGCATGTTAACCAGAGCTGAATGATGCAGAATGAGGTCGTAAAGCCTGATAAAGGGTGGAAAAAGGGCGGTTCATTCTCCTGCGGGATGCTGGTGTGACCCAGAAAGCTCCTGGAAGGGGTCCTGTGACCTCGCTGGCTGAAAACACTGCCATCAATCACGCGTGTTACAATATTTGGACATTTATCATGTGCGTCTCGCAGCTTTTTTCTGCCTTGTCTTAGCCTCAAATTGCCCCTTATTCGTCCACGAGACGGAGTCGGTGTAGAGGAAATTGATAGCGGAAGTACCAATCAATTGATTGAGATTCGGGGCCAATTTGGTGCGTCCACAGCCCAAAATGGGGTCTATTGAAGGCGCTCGCACACGTCCTGGACCATAGATGATGAGGGGAGATAGTGAAAAGTGGGTCTCGCTTTCACGCCACGACCTAGTTTAAGGCACAAAACACTAAGCATGGCGGCAGAGCGCAGAAAAAAGCGAGGCAATAAAGAGTAAAAGTTGCGTCTTGGCCCAATTCTTTCTCCGCAAATAAGGGAATTCCACCACCCTTCGCGCCAATTCCTGAATGCAAATACGATGTGCCATAAAGAATGGCTGAGGAGGGAGATTATGAATTCCTTCGCTCTGCCACAAATGACAGGATATTCGTGTCCCAGATCTCTCCCTCTGCGTCATCAATTACGAGGAATTGTGGCGAAAGAGGACACATTTGCCATATACTCGCCCTTTTTTCTCTCTCTCCGCCACCCCTTGCCAGCAGTATATTAACCCCTTTTCACCACACATTCCGCGCTCTCGGGAAATTCACTGTGCAGAACGTGAAGCTATTGCAGCGCTCCCGGGTCTTTGATCTCAATCGGCCCAATTGCAAACAGTCCAAGGCGAACCCAGACAATGGACGCTTGCCAAAGAGATCTTTGCCAGAGATGCTTTGCATAAATCTCTCTGAATTTCAATTGCTCAACCGGCAAGCATGAAAGAACTAATCCGAACTGACCTATATGCTCATATAATTGTAACATGAATAGCAACAAGTTGTGGCTTTTGCAATAAATCACCCTCGCGTCTGTTCTATCCTGGATTTAAACTATCAGTTTTTCTGTTGTTCATAGAGGAAACTTGGTCTTGAACCAAATTGAGCTCTTAAGTTTAGAGAAGATGAGAAAAAACACAATTTAATCGCAAATCTTTCCTTTGTTTTTTGCGAAATTAAATTTCCAAGTATTCTTGTAAAGTCCGTCTTTGAGCAAAATGGATTTGTGATTCACCTTGAAAAGCCCTGAATATTTAATTGTGTCTTTAGGTAAATGAGCCGTCTCAGGCGTTTGTTTCATTAGATTTGCTAATCTTGAGGTCGATGAGTAATTATTACAAATTATAAGTCGACTAAATCCTCCCCAGAAACGATGTTTTGCGGTGGGATGACTTTAAAATTTAATTAGCTCTCAATAAAGCGTCACGAAGTTGTCTGTTCCGGAGGATTTGGTTGTTCTCGCTGACCTTTAGCTCTCTGGGTGTTTTAAATTAGTGGTCAGTGGTGAATCAATTGGCTTCTTTGGAGAGCCAATTTTCACACCCACTCGAATTAATTCAAAATATCACACCTGACTTCGTGCGTCACACGAATGCGGTTTGACTGTGGCCAATTATATCTGGACTAAATGTGATTATGAGAACTCTGAAGTCCAGAGTTATGCCATGTGTGTGTGTGTGTGTGGGTGTGGGTGTTGTTTTTCCCACAAATTGCATAAAAGTAATGAATGAACTCATTTAACTCACTGAGTGAGTTTGTGGTGGAAAAATTATTCAGCACTGAAAAAGCATTTCAATGGATTTTAATTGTCCTGAATAGAGTATGACCTGACCGCATCAATCAACATCCTTTTTGGCTCCACCGCCCAGTGGCATGTTTTCCATTTTTGACCCCATTGGCATGGAGATTCCGACGTGTCCTACTTCCCTATTTTTCACATTCGTGCACCCTTTCTGCCAAGCATTGTTCGCTGGTCAGTCGCCAAGCGGGCGTCACGATTGAGTGCTCATGACGACACACACGCTGTGTTTTCCGGGCGAAATGCGGAAATGGGGAGGCCAATGCACTTGGCTCATCCCCCAAAAAAATCGCTCACTCGCCCCCAAATTGTCCCAGTGGGAATTCTCAGCCACAAATAATTTGGTGCTGATCGTCTGTGGATTTCTATTCTTGGGCGCTGATTTCGTCAACACTCAATTGTAACCATAGCGGTGGAGAATCTTTTGTTCCCCCCTCGATTGGCGACGAGTGAAAATGGTGGAGAGAAAATTTTTCTGAGGTTTTCCGCTATAATAAGTACACTCGACAACGGGCGGAAACTCTTCATTTCACTCCCAATGCTTTTCACTTGCTCGTCTTCTTGGAAAACACCTCAATTCAATTTTGACAATGCGGGGAAGTGGGGAAGAGGACTTGATGAAGTGGAACGCCAAGAGAAGAGTCAACAAACCGCAGATTCAGACTTGGCGGAAGTTTTGGGATTCTGCGGAGCTCCTTTTTATAGACGAGAAAAAACGGGATTGATCCCATGGGGGCGAGAAGTGAGGAAATTGAAGACACGCAGGAGCATGCAAAATTGTCTTTGATTGTGTTGCCCTGGAGAATGTTTTTGGGGTTGTTGCACTGATGAGTCTCAATTCAAGGACATCCGCGAATAGCCTCAAGAGCCACTCAAACTTAAGGATGGCTGTTGTCCGCTTCCTGAACGCCTCACGAGTGGATGTTGAGCTATTTGAGGTTTTAAATAGAAGCAGAGAAGGAAGCCATGGCGCAAGAAGTGGTTTTCCTACAATGAAAGTCACATTTCGTAACAATTAAGCAATCTTCTTTAAACATTTAAAGGATGAAATTGAAGAAGATCATGAGAAAAATAAGTCAGTAATTGCTTAATAGTCAAAATTCACTATAGTTTCTCATGCTTTTAATTGATAATTCTGTAATATTGAATTTTTGAAATCGCTAAAGAATATGTTTGAGTGGTTTTTAAAAGCCAAATTGATATTTTCTTATGCTACAAAAATACACAAGATGTAAACTATGAAAAATCGCTTTTTCACAGCTTTCGATTCACCCGTCGATATGTATAAAATTTATTTTCAACCCTTCATCATTCTTATTGAGCAAATCATTCACAAAAAACACCGGAAAGTCCGTAAATCTCACTGTTGAGCCAAAAAGGAACTTGTTATAGGCAGAAATCTTTCCATTGACGCCCAGTGACAATTCAAGAAATCCCAATACAAGACACCTTATGGTTATTTAAGTCCTTTGTGACTATTTTAAAAGGTCAAACATCCAAAAACTACTCTTATGCGTGCGTTTGCCTCGGCATTAACATGCAGCAGGACATTTGTTGATCTGTGACGGTCCCTCGAAAGCCGCTCTGCCGTGTGTTGAGGGACATTGTTTCCTCGAGGTGATTCCATCGGACAGATTCATTAATGGAATCAAATGGGACGGTCATGAGCATGAAGAATGCCTTGAGAGATCCCTTTCATGTGAGAGCTGGGGACACAATAAAGGAGAGGAATTTAGCACAGGATTCACCCGAATGCGACACGCATATTTGATTTCTTTCGTCACGTCACCGCCCGGAGGGGGTCGCTTTTTTCCGGGGTTGATGGGTGGGGTTGGAATATTATTTTCTGTTTCTCTTTTTCCATCTGATTTACTTCCACAGGACTCCTATTGATTGCTTCCCTCGCCGGGGCAATGAACTGATTGCGTTGCTGCGAAGTCAACCCAAGCAGAAGAGATTGGCGAAAGAAGAGGGGTTGATATAGGGATTCCTCAGGTGCTGCCACACGCCGAGACATGCCAGGACCTTGTCAGCGCCTCCGCCTGCCGTCGCTGGTCACCGTGATGCGCAGTCCCAAGGGCGAGTGCTCGCCGGTGAGGCGAAAGGAGCACCATCGTGTGGTGATGATGGGCGCCGCGCGCGTCGGCAAGTCCTCGATCATCTCCCAATTTCTCTACGACAAATACCTGGCGCGCTACCGACAGACCGTGGAGGAGCTGCATCGCGGCGAGTACGAGCTGCCCGACGGCGCGGCACTCACGCTGGACATCCTGGACACTTCGGGCGCCTATCAGTTCCCCGCCATGCGAGCTCTGTCCATCTCCACTGGCGGCGCCTTCATCCTCGTCTTCTCCGTGGACGAGGAGGAGTCCTGGAAGGAGGTGGAACGCCTTAGAGAACAAGTGAGTGCCTTTTTGCCGTGGATTCCAGCTGGAATTTGTCTGGCAAATTGTTTTGCCAAGAGTTTGGCGAACAATGAAATATGCATTATGTTTATTCTATTGCGTTTTTTTCACGAATTTCTCCTCATCAAGCTCAATATTGCCGGCTCCCCCGCAATTAAAACCAACAGATATATTTGTATATCATTTGCATTTTTAACCATTCAATACTCTGTACGGTAAATAATTAATAATTTACCTGCGTCTGTTCATAGAAAAGCTTTAAACCCGCATTTTTTCCCCCTGAGAAATTCAGCTTTAATGCCTGCCAGAAGGGAGGATATTGGAAGTTGGCTCGTGTTGCATAATTTAGTATTTATGTTCTACTGAGATTGCGTGTCTTCTTGCAGATCATCGAAGCGCGCGGTTATCGAGTGCCGATTGTCATAGTGGCCAACAAGGCGGACATTAAGCAGCCGGACAGGAAGATGTCGCGGGAATTGACGGAGAGCATCGCGACGGTGGATTGGGAGTGTGGCTATGTGGAGGCGAGTGCCAAGGACAACACAGGGATCGTAGATGTATTCAAGGAGCTTCTGGCCCAGGCGAAGATTCGCTACAATCTCAGTCCGGCTGTGCGGCGACGCAGGCAATCGCTGCCATCGTACGGAAGTCAGCAGAATGGTCGCGGCTCGACGACACCCAAGCACTCCCTGAAGCGCCACTCCTGCACTGTGGCGTAGGTGCCGAAGACAGAGATGCGCGAAACGAGATCGAGACTTATACTTTTCAAAAACAGTATTTGCGCGCAAATTCCACGAAATCCCCAGAGAGACGCTCAGAGTCTCCGGGGCAGCTTTCAACAAGATGAATCAGACAATATGGGGTGCTTCGGAGAGTCTCATGCGAATGGGAGTGTAAACAGCGCAGTTGTGGCATTGCTGAATAGACTATAATTGATCTGTTGTTGAAAGACTGAAGTTTTAGTTCGAATTTGATTGCTAAACATCTCAAAATAGCTCAAAAAATTGAAATTAGACCAAAATCTCGGCTTTTTGGCATCAGCAAAAGTGTTTCAAGTCTCTTTTCTTATCCTAAATTTCCTGAAAGTTAATCAATCTGTTAGTTAAGACAATAAGTAAAAGTGAAGAAACAACGATTGGCAGTTTGAAAAGTTCGAAACTCCTTAAATTTCTTCAGAAGCAGCATCATAAAGCAGCATCATAAAGCAGCTTTTCTTGTATATTTTCTGTATAGAATAATAGAGTGAATAATTGATTTGGAATTCCTCCCGCTTTTCGTGAGACTCTCCGAGCCTAAAGCGCCCTGTAAAGCGCCACGGAAATCGAATACGAAGCACTTCTCATCCCGACAGAAATTCACTTGCATGTGGGATTTGTCGCTCCTTCGCCCAAAGGAGACGCGTGTTGAATAAAGCCAGAAGTTGTTAGCATTTCTAATTGTAGGTTTTGGGTGTGCGTTTGAGTATGATTGAATTTGCATTAAGCCTAGTGTTTAGATAGTTGTACAATTAATTGTGTAACTAGCGATAGAGACATTAACCCGATAATTGTCTTGAGCCAAGTCCCTTCCCCACATGGAATTTGCATTAAAGTAGTTATCTCAACCATGAGCACGTGCTTTTCTCTCGCCATCGAGGTCGTTTGCCTCCGTGTGGAAACCCTGCAACGGCACGTGCGTCTCTGCTGCGCATCGACACTCTCTCTCTTACCCAAAGCTCTTACCATTAAGAGACCGTGTTGTGGTTTAAATAAAGAGAATTTATTAATAAAATCGCTAAACAAATGGAATGTTGAGGATGGAAAATCATTTATCACGCCAAGAAGTTTCATCTCAGTGGCTGTCTGAGCTAAAAGTCCTTTGTTGTGATCTGTTTTCTTTGTACAAAAATTCTTAAGAGGTCGTGATTGGTTTGTAAGATTTTCCCCTCCAAAAACACAACATCCGCAAATGTACCAAATGGCTGTTTTAGTACATTAACAGAATTCACTTTCCGTCTTTGAAAACATTTCAAATGGCTGTGGTGAAATATTTCCAAAAAAGTAACACAGTTTCTGCCTCTTTGTTCTCTTCATTCTTCGGGAAACATCTTGGAGAGAGTACTCAACAGGTATTTACAAAAAAGCCTTTTTTTTAACATAAGAATCGTCATGAGACATTGAATTGATTCGAACGAACTTTTTGGATATGATCTCAACCCTTCGGTGTTCTTGTAATGTCTTGTTTAAAGCTCAATTTACACGTCAGCTTTGCTAAATTACACTTTCCTGCATCATCTTAACACCTAAAGGTTAAATTTTTAGTACAACTTCTCTCTTCACTTGTTCTCTTAACACTCTAAACAAACTTACATTCGATCATGTATGAAACATTTTCTATTATCTACACAGCATTTTATCCGCATGTCTTCTCAAAATCAATCAACATTCTCCTTAACTCTACACTCTCAATGAGCAAAGAAAAAAACACCCATCTTCGTGCGGACTGAATTGTCTTACATGCTAAGAGAAAAAACAGAATCATGCAGAGATGAGTGAAGGCGGAAGAACAGGAAGGGTTAATTGTGATACTTCGATGGCAATTTCGTGGGTAGAAATTGTCTAGCCTAAGTAAACCTAACGTTCTACTAGACGTAGTAAATTTTGAATCTCGTCCATGGTGCAACTCAGACGTCTTCGGCATCTTTGGCGTCAGTCAAGCGGACTTGCACGTGAACCGACTCGATGCCATTGGCATTGGCCACTTGAGTGTCTCGCCAGGGCGTCGTGAGCTTCTTGAGGCGCTGTTGAGAGAGGATTTGGTGTGTTAGAAACAGATTCGAAGGTATTTCTCTGAAATATCACTCACCTGACGACAAGATCCGGATGTGGTGAGGAACTTGTAGGTTCCAATGATGGGAATCATGCACATGGACGAGCCGGCGATGCACCAGCCCAGCATGTTGGCCCAGCCCGGATACACGTAGTCTTCATAGCTGAGCGGCTCGTACATGATCAATCCATAGACGATGATGAAGAGGAGGAAGAGAGGCGCCACAAACTTCCAGCACACTCGCCAGTAGCGTCCGGGCGCGAAGCCAATCATATCTTCGATGTCGTCGCAGAATCTCTGCACGCCATAAATCCACGACACGGCGATGGCCTCGAAGAACACAGCGATGAGGATTGAGTAGCCGGCGGCGTAGCGGTCGAGCAGCTGGAAGAAGTAGAAGCCGCCTTGGGTGCAGCTGGCCAGGCCGACGCAGAAGTACAGTGAGAAGAGACACGCCACGAAGATTTCACGGTTGCGGCCGATCTTGGGGAATTCATCGCTCAGGGCGGTGATGATGGCCTCGGAGCCGCCAAAAGAGCTGTCCAGACCCAGCGTGAGGAGCATCATGAAGAATATGAGCGCCCAGAAGATGCTGCCCGGCATTGTGGCGATGGCGGCCGGATAGACGATGAACACCAGGCCAGGACCCTCCGTGGCCACATCCCTGATGTCCTGGTTGGAGGTGTGAGCCATGTAGCCGAGCACGGAGAAGATAACGAATCCCGCCACGAAGCTCGTGGCAGAATTGATGAAACTGGTCAACAAGGCGTCCCTGGAAAATCAAAGAGTGACGCTGGAGAATTGTTCAAATAACTCCTCCTGCCCACAGACTCACTTGTACACGTTGTTGTGGTACTTGTTGTAGGACGCGTACGCCAGCAACACCCCGAATCCTGGCCCCAGCGAGAAGAAGACTTGCGTGGCGGCGTCCACCCACACCTCGGCGTCGTAAATGGCGTCAAAGTTAGGGCTGAGATAGTAGCGAATGCCGTCAGCGGAGCCAGGAAGCGTGATGCCACGGATCAGCAGGATGAGGAGGACGACGTAGGGGAAGAGGGCGGTGAACCAGACCACCTTTCCCGACGTGCTGATGCCCTTCCACAGCGAGAAGTAGCAGATGAGATACACAGCCAGGAGGCAGAGCGCCATCTCCCACTTGATGATGCCCAGATCGTGAATCCCATCGCTCTCGTTGAGCTCCAAGATGTAGCGACTGGAAGAAGGATGATATAAACAGTGAAAACTTGCGGAACTCCGCAAATTGTGGCCATAATTGAGCAGGTAAGTCATCGTCAAATGAAGGAATTTGTATGATGAAATATCGAGGATTTCTGCCTACTGAATGTGTATTTTTTGCATTTCAGGTGCTTTTGCTGCCCATTCAGCAAAGAAAAGGCTTCAAGAACATCTTGGCTCATTTATATACAACATTCTTGAACAGATTTCGGACCAGAGAAGATGATTTTTGTGCAAACTTTTTTATTTGGTGGCTTTGAACAACATTTGAGGCTTCGGAAAGCGCTTCAGACATCCAGGAACATAATAAACGTTCGCTGGATATACTTTGATAACCAATTCCTAACCGAACGGCGCTTCAGAGATCATCTTCGCTTCCCTGGCCAATAAGAATTACCAGAAACGAAGCCCATCAGAGTGATGCGAATCATCTTCAAAATGTATTAAATATCATGTTCTTGAGTTTAAATATACTATAGAGAGATTTACAAAGGATCTAAGATCCATTTAATCCAGAGTAGTCAAGAATTTCCGCGAGATTTTCATGAGTAAAATATAATTTTCCTACAATATCTTTTGCAGAATTTTCCTCTCAGTGTTGCTCTCTTAAGTTAAGACACAAGCTCATAAGCTCTCAATTCTCCAACTCAGGGATGCGCGGTGGTGATCAAAGGCACTTACTTGAAGTACTCTGAGGCAGCTGAGGCGAATTTGGTGGTTGGCATTGGTGTGGTCTCGTTGATGAGGGTGTAATTGATGTCTGGATTGCTATCAAATTGTCTACAGTTGTCCGTGTTCCAGGCATTGTTGCATGATGTCCATGGCAGGACGTCAGTAAATGAGGCAAAGAAGAATCTCAGCGACCACGCAATTATCACGTTGTAGTAGAAATCCACGTAGAAAGCGATTAATACCACTGCATAACCGATTCCTGCAACCGCAAAAGGCCATTGAGAAGGCCGCGTGTGAGAATCTCTTTTTTTATGATGCGAGGAGAGAATAAAGCCATGTGAAAATGCCCCACAAAAGTCACTCCACGGAAAATATGTGTGATAAATCTGGAGCAACTCCCCGAGTTCTTTGTCAGCTTGGGTGGCAATCCCACCCCTAAAATCTCCACCACTTCTCGACAGCGGCACAGTATACAAAAGGGTAAGTGCACATCATTATGGGTGGGATGACAATGGGAGAAATTCACTTCATGTCTCTCGTAATGTCGATTTAGACGAGAAAAATGATAACACTATCGAACGATGGAATGCGAAATACACACACACAGTGTGTGTCTTTCACGTCTTTCATGCGGAAAGAATGTTTCGGGTTGTTTTTTTGGCGCGAAATCGCGAGAGATTTCTCAAAAGATACGCGATGAATCACTATTCAAATCCAATTACATCGCATGAATGTCAAATGAGATTTATGATATTATAAATGAAGTGTTTTTGGGTGATTTTCACCTCTTTTGCATATAAATGAATTGATTTACATTATTTTATAAGTCTTTCTTATCTTGCCTTCTTTGAAGTCTTAAGTAAATTGTCTCTCTAAGTTTCCAAGTAATACAAGTGATTTTCTTGAAAGTCTTGTAATTTAAAGTGAACACAATTCTCGGTAGGGTGAGTGTTAAGACCGCGGTTAAAACTACAAAAGATTAGACAATTTTATGATGCATATTTCCGCCATATATCGTCTTTATGGTATCAAAAATGTTATCGATAATATTTCTTAAACCTCCCGCAGTCAATAAATCATCAATAAACATTTTACTGTCAACCACAGACTCATAAATAAGTGTCTTACCTTTAAAAAGTGGTACAAGACGTCCCCAGCACGTGATGGCGCCCTTCCTGTTGAACTGCCCAAGAGCCAATTCCATGTAGAAAAGGGGAATTCCACCCACAATCAGCATGATGCAGTAGGGAACAAGAAAGGCCCCTGCAAAGGCAAGAGAAGCGCCTCGTCAATTACATCACAACGGCACGAGAGCCAGGAATAATTTGTTGTGAAGTGGATCCGTGTTGCCCAGGATGTCCCTAGGCGGCTCCCGATGGTCTTCATGTGCGCAAAATTACTTCGTTTGATCGTGCATAATCGAGTTTGAAACTTTATTTTGTGTCCCCAACAATGTCGACGAGGTGCGGTGATTGAAAATTGCGAAAACACCCCCGAAGCCACGCCAGGGCGGCTCGCCTGATGGGGGCGCAATTGTCTGACGGGGGGGAGGTGAAAAATGAGTGGGGATTAGCCTTGCAGGGAGCGCATGAAAGAACAGGGAGAAAAGTAATGAGACTACTTCCGCTTCCAGATGGATTGTGTCCACAACAGGCAGGATGTCATCTTCCTGTCTGCCTCTGTGAACGCAGTCAAAGCTCTGGACGCGTGTGAATTAAGTATGGATGGCCGAGAGAGAGAGAGACTCTTGTGATCACTCAATCGCCATTCACTTGACTTCAATGGAAAAGAGCGCCACGCTTGTGGCCAAGGCGGACGAGGAGAGAAAATCGACGGGAAATTGTGTGCCAGTGAAAGGGAAGTGGATGAGGGCAGAAATGGGGTGGAATATGAAATCTTCAGCGCCACTTTGAGTGTCATCCTTGATGTCTCCATAACTTATCTGCTTATCTTCTCCAGCAACGATGGAGAGATTTTCTTTTTTTTCCCACCCTGTGTGCATCTTTCGCCTGAGCCTCAATGCAAATCCATCAGGATTATTGTCTCTCAACTCCTTTTTTATATGACTAACTGAAAATACATTTCAAATAAGAACATAATTGAGGAGAACTTATTCACCAATTTCCTCACTCTCTCATTCGCATTTCCCGCACTTTTCACCCATTCCACAGCCGCCTTTCAGAGCGCCACACAAAAAAAATCACCGCATTCCAATCCATTTTCCTCGGCAGCCGGAAAATCCCTTCAGCTCTCAGGATGAAAGATGAGGAGAAGAGAGCATAATGCTCGAGTGACTTTTTCTGTTGGCGGGAGTTTAAGCGCTCGCCTCTCGTGGGAATTCCACGGGAATTAATTGAGTAATCTCGTGCTTAAATTTTTCGCCAAATTAACCTGATGTACTGATCATTGTCTTATTAAGCGTAGTGAGGAATTGCCCGAGGAGGGAATCCCTGGGTAATTGGAAGAAATAGAGATACAGGAAGTATTGATTGACTCTGTGATAGCAGAAGACTTCAAACTCAAGCAGAATCACTCAATTTCGCCATCCATGATTGATTTGAGGAATTTAAAGAAATAAGCAAGGAGCCGATTGATTTAAAGTATGTTGTTAAAACCTACTTCCTTTCCTGAACAGTTAATTCTGCAAGAATTCTGAAGGATATTGCGGAATTCAGTGAAAATCCCATCGCATTCGTTTTGTTTAGCGGGGCGAAAGTGTCAGGAATGGAAGGCGTTGGAAGTGGGGAATGGGTGATGGCATGAAAAAGGCGAAAAGAGTCAATTTCCATGGGGTTGCGGGGGGGATTTTGCGGCGGGAAATTGCACTCAACAGGTCCCTACGTGCGCCCTTTCCTCGCCAGAGCGGAACACGACGACGACGTCGCCTTGAGATCCCGCCACAAGTGTTGAGCGGGAACAATCGTCAAGTGGATAAATGGATGAGGTTATTTGCGGGGTGGGGCGGAAGTGGGTGGGCAAAATAGTCGGGCTTTCACTTAAAATTACACATGAATCAAAAGCTGAGCGCCAGAGGCTTTTTCTCCTTTGCCAAACCCCTGGAAAAGTCAGTGAGTGTGGAAAATGGAGGGTCAATGTTCTACTTGACTTATCGTTACACATTTCACGACAATTTTTCATTTTATTTCCCTCAATCTCCGCCCGCCCCCTTCCGCCCATCGCCTGGGCCGACACGAAGGTGGTGAGGGGAAATGTTGCAATAATAAAAATGCTATATAGTCCCCCCGATATACATATGTTGGGTGGTTTTTTTTTCTTCCCACTCACGCCCACATCGCGGCGGTTTTTAGCAAGTGTTTAAGGGAATTTCCAATTGGATTAGCTTCAAAGCTTTTCCTCATCCACTATCTTCTGCCTTCCAGAGACCTTCGCTCTTGTCAATATCTCTCTGCCGAAATGGAAAGATAAAATCGTATTATGTGCAATCTTTGATATCACAATTTTTTCCACCCACCCACTGACTTTTCCCTCCACTCCTTCACTCTCAATCCGATTTGCCTTGTCAATTCAATTATCGACTATCGAGGCTGAATTCTCTCAATGAAATCACAGACAATTTCGCGAAATATTGCTTAAATTCCACCAACACATCTTGAAGCTCAAAGAAGAAGCAAAGAAATTTGACCATAGCGAAAATGTCTTTGAAGGAATTTTCCTAAATTTCCATTCTCCCTTTCTAGTGTGTCATTTGAGAGGCACCTTGACACTCCGTGAAGAACTAAAAACATGACATAATTCAATTGTGCCGTCAAAGGAGTGTATAATTGATTATGTTCGGCAAAGAGGCATCTCTCCTTTGCATCCTCACCATCCCGCCCACGCATGTCTCTTCTCGTATGTTGTAGTGAATTTCCACCAGTTCGATTCTGATGCAATAACAAATAACCTCTGCTAAATTCAATTTACCGCACATTCTCGAAAAAAAGGATGAAAAATCCAATAGTCATGAATCACATCGTGGAAAACCCGTGAAAATCCCAATAGCCGCAGTGTTGAATCGTAAATGTCAAATCTTACCTCCTCCGTTCTTGAAGACCAAGTACGGAAACCGCCACACATTTGCCAAATCCACCGCGAATCCGATCACGGAGAGGAGAAAATCCACCTTTCCCGACCATGTCTCGCGCTCGTCGTTCTGCGTGAGTTCGCTCCTGGGCGTCCTGGACTTGACGACTTGCCCGATCGGCGCCATCGCCAGGACGACGCCTTCCTTGTCCTTGTCAGCTACGACGCCAGTCTCTGGATTGTCTGCAATTGACCAAAATGGCAAGATTATCAAGTCATGAATATGATAAAGAATTCAAGAGCACTTCAGCTAAATCGAAATCGCCAAATTGCGCCAAACTATTTCTCTCTGCGTGTGTGCGTGAATTCCGCAAAATGATGGGAATTAAAGCTGTGCCGGAACACAGGAAATCGACACGGTGGGAATTGCGGTGGTGTTTAGCGGAAATTGGGGCTTTTCCACGGTCAGTGGAGCGCCGGTGATCATCTTCCTGTCGCCCCTGCACGAGTTGCAAACGCCCACGCATTTTTCGGCCAGCATCAAACACAGACGCGCGATTGATTTGGGGGCTGGAGGAGAAGGAGGAGGAGGACACGTATCCACTACAACACTCTGACTTGTCAATCGACGATTTATTTATAAAATAATTTCATTTGGCACAATTTCCATTAAGCACCCGCTCGCCTCTCGAGCTTCCCGGTGATTGAGTGCTAATGAATGGTTTCGATGGGTGGGTTTAGGAGCTGACGAGAGACACATTGTGCCGGAGACTCAAAAGGAGGTCTCGAGTGCCGGTAAATTGAGGCATCCCCGAGCCCGTGTAGTGCTATTTTGCCACCCACAGACTGCCATCTCCTCTCCACGTCGATACACGCCAGCAGCATTTTAACTTTTGCCAAACTATCTCCATTTTTCCCTTCATTCAACTTCCTGTTCCGCCTCCGCAGCTCACCTCACGGGGTGTCTTTTACCAGAGCTTTGACCTCTGGCATTTCACACAGGACGCAATTTCAATTGATAATTTCTCAATGAGCGACAATCGAGAGAACTTCTCAATGATTTGTCAATTACTGAGGCGATTTTTTCAATTGGAAATCATCAGAATGTCTCTTATTTTGAGAGAAACCACTTCTTCACACTTTTATGAACGCATTTTAATGCATTTTTCATCGCTTTTTGTACTTCTTCAACTGTTAATGTGCCAAGATTTGTTTATGGGAATTTCTAGTTCTAGTTCTAGTAAAAACCCTTCTTAGATTAATTAAAATTTTTTAAAACCTGGATTCGCCAATGGAAAGTACAAACTGAGTAAAAGGACATTAATCTAAACTGAAAGACCATTTTTGGAGGTTTTGATTGACTTTTAAGTTTTTTTTTATAACTGAAATTTAACCAATTTCGAGTTTTTCGCACACAAATGCTCAAATCTGCGCAAGAAAAAAAGAAATATTCCCGGATTAAACACAAATTTGACGATTTTGAGGGTTATTTAATCATCTGAATCTGTTTTAAACTAATCATATAACCTAGAAAAGCAATAATAATTCAGAAAATGTCTGAATTTCTTAAAATAATTGCTTTTACAGTGCAAACATTTTGCCAATTTCCAACACTTCCACACTTCTTGTGTCTCACTTTGCGGAGGAATTTTGAGAAATTGATATTAAATTGACTGTTTACTACGCCACTGTTTACCGCTTATGTTTTGATGGCTTAATTCAATTCAAAACTATAATCTTGATAAGCTCATAAAAGAAACGATTTGACGATTGGCCGTGCTTTTTATGACTTACTATAAAGCCCACAATGATTAATTGATTTATTTCGGCCCAGTGATGTTTGGGTGTGCTAGAAAACAACCTTAAAATTGACTTTTGTGCGTGTTTACAAAACTTGATCCAGCTTAACTGCAAATTTATGCACGAGATATTTTTTCATCATCATCATCTCTAAACAGATGATCAATAAATATTGAATATTTTCAGCATGAATCAATGAACAATCTCAGTCTTGTTCTTATTTGTGTTCTCACATTCGAACTGACGATTAAACATTTGACTAAGCGATTTAAGGTCACGCAGAGTGTGACTTAATTCTCGGGAAATCTCATATCGTGGCTTTGCGAGAGAGACTAATTTGAAAGTGATCAATTTGTGTGTTGAAATAAATCTTATAATCTTCCCACAAGAAAATTGAGAAACTTTACTATTATTATTTCTCCACCACAAGAGACTTGTTTTCACTTTTTTCCATTCACAAACAAATCTCACCCGTAAAAGGTCATGAAGAATTTATGCCGAACCATTCTTAACCGCAGATTTTCTACTCTTCAAGTGATAGAAATCTACTTAATAATATCGCAGTGTTTCTGCACGATTTCTTTCAGTCGACAAATATCACTTTACGACGACTTTTTCATGTTCATTTCCCCCACCATCAGAATCTCAACTATTCTCGCGAGCTTTATCGTGTATTTTTTTTCTACAATGCGTCGCCACGAAAGAAAAGCCACCTTTTCGAGTACATTTGCATTTTTACAACTCAATACTGCCAGGGCAGTTTTTTATGCACTCGAGATCACTATCACTCTTTGACTTGAATTTTATTGTGCCTTTTTTGCCACTTTGCACGAGATTAATTTGCTGAACAAATACAAATGCTTTAGAAACACATGCAAATTAATCAAAGCGATGATTTTCACGCCTTTTCACGCTTTTCCTAATGTGGACAAAAATCCTCGAATATGCGGACGATTTGAGAGAGAGAGAAAAATGCGACTTTATATTCACAACAATTCATCACGAGAGTCACTCAATTAGCGCTAATTTCCTCTTTGGTGAAATTTTAATATAAAATTTCCTCCTTAATTAAGTGTTTTGTTGGGCGCACGAGATTGTCAAGAGACTGACTCTTATTAGATCACATTAAAAAGAGGGTTTTTGTTGCAAAAGTTCATGGCGAATGTGCACTTTTGCAATATTATTATTTACCTTCTGCCTCGGAAGAGCCCATTTTGCAAGGTGCGCCACAAAAGCACTTCCGTCAGCCAGAAAGTGGTTCACGGGACAAAATCAGGGGGACTTTGGTCCACCAGAGATAACTGAAGATGAGATTAGCGCTTTGATATGCCGAGGATTGCGAGCCACTGACCGCGTGTGCATCACATTGTGACCAAACGCAAACTGTTGCGAGTCCAGTGCTGGAGGAGTCGCTGAAGGCTGCCCCAGAGCCAGAAAATGGCTTTACGAGTGTATGGCAAGGGAATTAATTGTCGATGTTGCAAACGGGTTTTTCTCACGCGGGGGATTTTTTCAGATTTATACTGTCAAAATACCACAAGATTGTGCCTCATTGATATTATTTTAAATATTTATTTTGAACAGATATTTTTCGCTTACTCGTGAAGAGAGAAGTTCTAAGAAATCCAATCACATTATTCAGAACAGAGCCACAAAGATTCTCTCTGGGTGGTTTTCTTTCTTTTTCTTTCCTTCAACGGCACTCGAGAACTTCCCGACGGGATGTTTTGTGGTCCTCTGGAGGATTTTCACTGCAAGGCTCCTTTCTCCTTCTGTGGCCAATTTAACCGTCGACGAGAAACTGACCGTCACGCCGAGCAAGTTGATGCTTAAATATCCGCGCGTCAGGAGCTCACGAGGACCTCAAGACGCCTGCGCAAGTCGCAAGATCGTGAAACTGCGCCCTTCGTGAGCATCTTTCTCGCCCTTCCCACCACACAACACTGCGATGCATCTGACCAAAGACACGGATGGCACTCAAAGGGCCATTTATAAGTAAGATAAAAGCAAACAGAGTCAGAATTATTGTGCAAGTTTAATTTTTTATGCACACTTACTCGGGTTTATAACCGCATTAACACATATAGGTGGTTTTCTCAACAACTTCTTTCGAAAAAAAACCCTTTTAAGCGCTGTTTTCGGCTAAAAAATAGTCTAAATCAAAAGATAATGGTTTAATTGCTCATTATAAACACACTTTCGCCAACTAAATGTTTAATTGTCTCAAAGCAAAACAAATAGAGTCAACAAACTGGCGACTTGTGAATAAAATCCATATTCTACTGCTTAAACTGCTTAAACACGGTACAAATTCTTTGATTTATCAATTATTGGATGAGAATAAACCGCCAATTGCCCATTGAAGTGTTAAGTGGAGTGAATTCTGGCATGCGAGTAGCCCCTTGAGTACCACGATTTGGGCTTCCATTGGCTGAGTAGTGTGGATACGTCATGACATATTGTTCTCAGACATTCTTCACAGTGCCAGTTGCACTTAACATTTGCCTCTGGCCGAGTGTGCAGGTGAATACAGTGTGATTTTCTCGTGGAAATCGCCGAAATCACATTTGAGAAGAGGTGAGAAAAGCGCGCCAATCGCAAACCGCCCTTTGAAAACCTTCAATCCAATCGACGCGCCATCTGTGTTGTTTATTCCCCCAGTGTTTTTTTCATGCTGGGGTTTGTGCTGTAAGCGAAAATTTTCTTCTAAAACCCCACACAAAATTGTGGAGTGCTCCAAATTACACGTAAGTGCTGGTCAAAAGTCCTCTCTATCGGATTGTGGTGCGGTGCTGTTGAATTGTGGGCGATTTGTGGGTGAAAATGTGTGAAATTGTCAGTGACAGCTGCCACAGCAGCATTTTTTTCAGCCTCCATTCGTGCCCCAGAAAAATCATTCGCCCTTTGTTTACTGTAAACATCTCAGCTGAAGACTTTCCACTCTTGATATTGTCACGACAGAGGAAACTCCCTGCGTGGCTGACAAGGAGAATTCGCTCTCGATCGTCCTTCCGGGAGAAATTCAGCTTACAAGAGTGGCCCAGATTATTGCTCAACTGATGACATCACAATTGAGAGAGTTTCTCAAAGATAATAATCCCAATTAATGCCCTCTTTTTGAGATACATTCACTGATGACAAGAGTCTCAAGCTCACCAGCATTCCCCATGGAATACAATGAAAAATGCTCTGTTCCACTTGTTTCCACTATTTGCCTGGCTCACGAATTGTGGAACTTCATGAAAATCGTGCCAGATTGCAAACATTCTTTCCTGTTCCCAAGCAAAAACCTCGACTTCAGGTGCTTTTTTCAGGCGGAACAACACTTCAGCATAATGTGAAGAAGTCATCAGAAAAGTGTTTGGCCCACAGAGAGTCTCACAAGGCCACTGGCGAGTCATCAATTTGCTTTTCCTCATATCAATTTCCCAAAAATGTCCGCGAGTTTCATGCGAAATCAAGTTGAAATTCGAGAAAGACATTTACTGCTAGCCTGAATATTGTGATGTAGATAAGAATATTGCTGTATTGTAGTCTGATTCTCCAGAGCGGAACGAAACGATCATCATTTAGTCCAAAACACGGATCAGCTTAGCCAAATATTGCCACGAATGATCCTTTGATCTACTCAAAACATCAAATGCAAAACTATTTCAATTATTTGCCAAAAGGATTGTGTTTTCTAAATTTTTCGTGGGAATAGATAAGAAAGTCTTCGGGAAGCTCTTATCGCTTTGGTTTTAATTATCCACTGACCTTAGCTTGTTTTGATACAGTAGAAAAAGCCACCGCGGGGCGAGTAAAGAAACTTCACTCGTGGCTCTTTAACGGGTTGGCCAAGTTGGGATTTTTATGCAATCAATTAGCGTGAATTACCGAAATCTCTTTTCCTCGCGGTTTCTTTTGAATTTGCCTCTCTTGCAGATCATTCCTCGCCGTGGGACAAGTGGCAATCGCTGTGCTAAACACGCCGATATCTTGCAATGGGAGACGAATTCGACGGTTGCGAGTGCATCTGGAGCCATGAGCTGGCGATGAGGCGTCTCCTGACGCTGCTCAGGCAGAACCAGAACTACTGCACAGACACGGAGTGCGTGGACTTGCCGGCATCGAATCCGGACGGAATGGGAACGGGATTCACCACGATGACCATGTTCATCGTCTTCGCTGTGATACTCTACATGATGCGACCGCGAAGCCTGCGCCGGAACGCCCACGTGGCGGAGAAGCCGCTGGCCAATCGCCCCGGCGGCAGTGATGACGGCGGCCCGCCGCCGCCCACAGTCGGCTGAGAAGCGCGCCGCGCGCGTGTTTCTGCTGCACAAATCTTGCGTACTTTCGGTCTCTGTCCTCTTTATTTTCTTCAATCCCAAACACGTAAAATCTCCCGGCGATGCTTTCAGTGAACAGAAGTGAGTGTATAGGAAGTGGATTTGAATAAATATGATTCCTACCGTCAATTTGTCATTCTCTGTGAATTTTCCCGACTGTTTCGCGCACCTTTCCCAGCACATCCTTCATCTTCTCATACTTGCCAGTGCTGTCGGGCAGATTCTCAAAGTCTATCACGCCACTCACGCCTCTGGCCCAGTTGTCGCCGTCCGGGAGGCGCGAGAAGGCAGAGAATGGCGTGAGAATTGGCGTGCCGGGCATTATTGACACGGATTTCCCACGATTATCTGGCGTCATTGGTTTCTGTGATGCACTCGCCGAAGCGTCACTGCTGCTGGAGTTCAGCGCATCTAGGAGACGCTCCTGAGCAGCCTGAAGCTCATCCAGAGACGGTGAGTCACGCTTTGCTGTCTCTTTGGAAGAAGTTTCTTTGGAACTCTCATTGCTCTCCGGCTGTGCGGGACTTATTGGGCATTCTGTGGAGAGAAATCAGGACAATCAATTGCCATTTAACAGCAAATAATGTTGTTAAAACTCACCGTCAACGATTTCCATGTCTTCCATGCCGCCGTTTGGCGGCGAAGCCTCCAATTCACCCAGTCTCTGTCTCTTGTAGCCCGGCTGTGATTCCTGCAGGCCAAACATCTTGAACATCACCTCCTTCCGATGGTGCTCCATCATTGGCGACACGCCGTGGAATTGCGACTCGTCAAGACAACCTCTTGGCGGATCAATATTGAAGCCCGGAAATTCAATTATCTTCTCCGGATTGTACTCTTCCTGCACCTCGCAGATCTGGCCGTCCTCCAGGTTGCTGGAGCGCACACTGCGTCCCTCTGAGTCGAACAGACTCAGTCCGGAGTGCGAAATCTTGGCCTCCTCCAGCCACCCGGGCGGATAGCCCAGCCGGCGCATGCGATAGATGAAGGCCGGGAGGCAGTTCGAGGGCACGCCCAGGGCCTTCTTCAGACTCCCACTCACGCAGCCTGCCTTTATGTGGGCAAATCTCTGCTCAATGTCCGTGTGATAGCGCTCCGTCTTCGAGCTGGCGTTCTGCATGCGCGCCTTCCGGATGCGCTCCTGATTGCGCGGCAGCGGACAATCGCTCAGCGTGTGACTGTCGCCACAGTTGAAGCAACTCGAGGACTTCTTCAGCCTCTGAGGAGTCTCAGGCAATTCCCCATTGTGCAGCGTGGACACCTCACTGGGCAGATAAGCGGGAACCTCGTTGATCTTCAATCGGATGGATGGTTTCTTGTCCTCCGTGAAGATTGATTCACTCTCTGACGCCTCCTCAGCGAAGATATCCACAGTCTTTCCCGATTCACTCGTCACCACACTTCCATGCTTGTTCTGTGCCTTAAGAAATGACTCCACGCACCGCCGGATCTTGCTCAGGAGGGATTTACACGCCTCCTCATCCTGAAACACCATGTGCAGAAACGGTTCTTTGGGCTTGTCCTCCAGCAATCCTTCCTCCTCCTCTGTGGTGTCCAAATTGACAATGGAAACATGCTGCTCCAGCAATTGACAATCACTATTGTTAAAATTAATGTCTTCAGACATCATTTCCCTTTGCTATTTACAATTTTTTGGCTATTTTCCCTCGAAAATCTCATTTACGGGAATAGAAAACAAAAATATTTTGACAGCCAACTACGTTCGCCACAAATTCTCACAGAGGGCAGCGCAGTCGGCAAAAGGGGAAGCAGATTCGCATCGTCCAAACTTGTGTGCCGCTTTTTGGGAAAGTGGTGAAAAATGAGTGGAAATGAAATTAAATCAATAAAATTCTGAGTTTAATTCATCCGAGATGAACATAGGGTGAAACGGGCGAAAAATTGAGTCACTGCAGATTTCATATACTCACGATTTTGCAAGAATTCTGGAGTCTCGTGGCAAATGGCTGTAGAAACAATGGATCAGCTGGATCAGCAATTCAGTGAGTCTGTTAAATTATTATTTATTTTGTCCATTGTAAATCTATTTACATAATGTTTTCCATACAAAAAAAAACACTTGCGTGTACATCATTGCTCATGATTTGACGATGCATCCCGCTGAGGGGATTTTCACGGGAGTGTCGGGAAGACAAAGTGTGAACTTTTTTCACGTTTTAGCGCAATAAGTACACCTTAATACTAGGCAATCGCTTAATTATAGAGATAAAAACATGATGAAACGCGGGAAAACGAGGAACCGATCTTTGTTAAATATATATAAAATGAGAATAGAGTAATGTTTGGAAAGAAGAATATTATATATAAAAAAATATGTCGCTATAGATCTCTCAGATCACATTCACACGGAAAAAGTGTCTTTATGCCTTTTCGTCTTGCTGGTTTAGCGCTCTCAAGCTCAAATCACAATTTCGAAGGAGAGATTTCCACTCGTGGCCGCTAGACGATCTCCGCCGAGGCGCTGTTGTAGTGGAGTCCGTTGTTCACGCTGCGATGGTGCTCCAGGTGGTCGTGCTCCATCTGCTCCTTGAGAATCTCCAGCTCCCGAATGCCCGACACCGTCACCTCGTACTTGTGCGTCATGAGGGAGCGATAGAAGTGGATGGCGAAGGCCAGGAAGACCACGAGGACGGGAATGAGCACGATGCAGGCCGACCACGCGGCCGCCTGGCTCAGATCGTAGAACTTCACCCAGCACAGGATGGCGATCTCGAGCAGGAAGAGAATGAGGCCGAGCAGCGTGGAGAACGCCCACGCCGTCTCGATGTACCAGTGCAGCCGCTCGTGCGGCGACTCGTGCACCAGCGAGATGCTGTGCAGATTGCACACAGTCTCAATGTTGGGCAGGATGCAGGTGCTGATCATGAGGGCCAGCATGTGCACGGCCACCAGGAGCGTCGTGCAGATGGCGAAGGCTATCAGCATGCCGACGGGAACCTGCGTATCACTGTTCAGCTGCACTTCCACCATTGCGACCTGGCGTGGAGAAAAAAGCGCGCATCATTAGCGTCAACCGGAAGGCAACACTTAAGCGCTAGAGTTCCCAGACTTGAAGCCGTGGTAGTTTTTACTATTTCCCATAGTCAATATTCCGGAAAAATGCAGTTCCCGCGCAGTGACAAAGCGCCATGCGATTCGCACTCATTCCGCTGGCGCGAACAAAAACACAGATAATTGTGGGAAAGTGAGATTCATTGAAGGGAAAAAACAAAACTGTCTGTGTTTGTTTTGCTTAATCAGACGCCTTTTTACAACATGATCTTCATGTGAAATACAATTTGCCTACGCGTCTTTAAGAGATCGCCAATGAGATCTTGGAATGCTGCCAGAATTTTGCACACATTTAATGATGAATAATCTTGGAATATAATGAGAAATTAATTTTTCAACCGGAAGGTGAGATTTAAGGCGGCATTTCAGGCTCATTGAAGGTTAAATCGCACTCGAAATATAGAAATGCGTGTAGAAATTATGCATGTGCACTCTTAAAACACTTTGCAGATTTATTTGAGTGTGCTTTGTAAAAATTTCTCACAAAATCTTGGAAAATTTTATTGAGTTCAGGTCAGTTCTAATTTATTCTTTATGTTTTTATTCAAAAATTATCCGGTTTTGATTATAAATCCCGCGACACGACATATTTCCCACAAAAATGTCATAACGATTATAAGTCAAGAGAGAAAGGCGTGAGAAAAAAAGAGATAAATTATAGATTTGGCGAAATTCTAATTAGACTCACGCGATAACGGCGTAAATCAAGGGGTTGCTAATATTGGGGATGCAGTGTCAATTAGATATTTTATCTTGTTAAGTCTTCAAAATCAATTATAAAATGATTGTGCACAATTTGAAAGAGCTCAAAAGCTCGTAAACACCAAAAAAACGACAATCTAGCTTAAATACTTAATCGTTAATCGGATATTTCCGGTTTTACGCAAGATTTTGTGGTTAAATCGAGAGAAAACCCGTAAAGTGTCCTTTAATAATTCAATATTAATAAGTTCTCCTTAAATTTAACCTCAAATTCTCTTTTTCCATCCACAAAATACAGTTTTGTCGCAAAATCTTCTAATTTCTGTATTTAAACACAGACTTTTTTTATTTGGTTTTTGAAGTTTTTTCTCTCCAAAATTCTCTATCACGCTCTTAAAGCCTCTAAAACTTCTTCAAATTGGTCAGAAAGACACTAAAAATATATTTTTTCTTCTTAATTTTCCACTTTTACTTCAAATCCTGCACAAAATTCTCAAGTCTGTGATTTTGAGTTTATTTTCTAAAGTAGTCAAAACCTCTATTAGCAACCTCTTGGCGTAAACACTGTGCGAATTAAGCGAGAGAACAAGAAAAGAGGAATAAAAGAGTTGAAGTGTGTTGAAGAAAAGTCGTCGAGTGTTTGCCAAAGTTGAGCAAAATTAAATAGAATTTTGTCAACAAGTGAGAAAAAGTGCGCGAACGGAGTTAATTGTGACGACACGCACGGCCGAGGAGGAATGGCTACCGAAAATACTTGTGGGACTTGCGATACTCACCATGGCGAAGCCCGAGAGCAGGGCGGACGTCTTGCTGGACGCCTTGAGCTTGGCGCGGCTGAGCTGCAGCTTGCGCCAGGACAGGTAGCTGGGTGAGTGGAGATCCTCGCCGGACTGCGACATCCCGATCGAGCGTCTCTGTGCGGAAGAGAGAAAACTCACTTTCTGACCACCGCGATCAGCGAGGTACCTGCCAAAGTGGCGAGTGTCACATTGAGGCACCAGAGTGTAGTTGTGCCGAGAATTTGGGCACAAGTTGTAATCTGAACAGCTGGGATGAAGCAGAGACATCGAGCTCTCTCTTGCTCGCTCGCGCGCACGGAATTTTCACGGGGCGCGCGCGGAAAGCCGCACTCTGGCTTTGGGAAAATGTGTGCGCCTCTGTGTGCGAGGCGACGGAAGCACCACAAGTTCAGGGAAGGTGTCGCCCAGCGAGGCGACTGCCTTTAATTAATTGTGTGGCAGAATGTCTCTGAAGAATTCGCGAAACTATAATATGTTGAGCAATATTCAAACATAACACACGTCACAGAGAGTGGCTCAATACACACGCCCAAAAGCCACACAATTCAACCATTAATTTGCGGTGTGTGTTGATAAAAATTGTTGATAGTGTGTTGATTGTGATTTTTCCCTCAACACACTTTTGCACAGAACGATCATAAAATGGGAATTCACGTGAAAACACGCTCGCGATCGTGTCCATACACAATAATACAGTTCAACACAATAAGTTGGATTTCACTTTGAGAGACTGAAAAGTGTGTTTCTCGAGAGCGCGGGACTGAAAAGTGTGCCGGAGCGTCTCGAAGTCGAGGGAAAACTGGATGACAAGTGGGAATCAGTCATATGTGTCCGTGGCAATCGAAAGCACTGTTCCCATGTTGAGAAAAGGCAGGGTGTTCAGTTAGAGTTGTGGATCAAAGGCGGAAATTCCATGGGAAAGCGCGTGAGAGAAAAACACCCACATTGGATGATTTTTCATCATCACCCACTTGACTTTTTCGCGCACACACATTTTTGCGCATTTCGAGCACTTTTCGCGAGCATTTCGCCTCGTGGATGCATTTTGCAAAACTGTGCCAGCAGCGACACTATCAATTTATTCGTGGCGCGATGTCAGAGACATATAAACGATAAGTCCTTGATTATAAAGCAATTGGCATCGCGATCAGCGGACAATTTTGAACACCGCGTTTCAGTGGCATCGAACGCCGAAGGCGCGGACAAAATACGGAGGATCAATGTGATAAGATAAGCAAATGAATGGAGTTTTGTTTTGGAAATAGAGGCAAAACATTCTGTAAATATTTACCACAGATTGTACTTTTTTTCTTCTTCTAAAAATCCATTCGATAAGAAAGCGATTAATAAAGCGATAGAAGAACAAGTGTGAAATTCATTGTCTCATTGTGAGATTACAATTAATTCGATTGAATTGGAAATTAAACAGAGGGAATTGAGATCGATTTTGCTATGGAAAGATAAGATAAAATTTAATTTTGGTATTTTGATTGAGTCTTTTCACATTTTCTTCATCACTCAGTCTGAATCTAGCTCAAATAGCGCTTCGAGATTCGCCTATTTTATGCTAAAAACACTCAAAATTAATTTTCTGAATTTTTCAGTTAATATTTTTTGTATTTATTGGAATTTTTGACTGAAATATGGCAAATATTTAATTTCCAAAGTCGATTTTATAAATAAGTTCTAAAAAAAAACATCTTTTCAAGTGAAATAATTAAAATATATGTCAAAAATTTGTTCATTTAAAGTCTAAGAACATTTTAAGGCAAATCCTGAGTCGTTTTATGCAGTTTGAGACAATTTTCTTAGGAAAAATCTACGGCGTAGACGATAAATAGTCGATTTTACATAGTTTCTGATTCACCCGCTGAACGAATTTAGTGATAATTTTCTCTATTTTGTTGCATAAGCAAAGAAACAACTTTAAAAAATGCTCAACCACACAATCTATTGGAATTCCTCGCCTAAACAAAACTCTTATCTATTCCATTGACCTCTTCTCAACTCTGTTTATGATCATTGCGTTCTTATTATATATTTTTTAATGCCATATCGTTACGGAAATCGTGTGAAGAAGCCGTGAATGGCGAATAGATAAAAGGAAACCGCGCTTTTCAGTAGTCAAAATGTTTTGCATTCTTTGCAACTCAATTTAAGAGATGATCTTCTAGTTTCTCTGCAATCGTAAAAGAAAAATTTCCCTCTTGTTGCTCTTGGCAGTATTTTGTGTGCTTAGGAATTTCCTTTCGGCGCAGATTTACGATTGATCTTGAGTGGGTTTTGGGCGTTCCGGGATATTGTGGGGCTGCGCTGGAGATTGTTTAGATGGAGAGTGTCGGATTTCCTCCATTCTTCGTGGGCTTTGCGGGTGTTTTTCTCTCTCGAGAGAGTGGCGAGTGATTCGCGTTTGCAATTGACACGCTGCAGACGGTGGCTTTTCTTTTCATGCTAATAATACTGGGTGTCTAAACAATGGGCCAAGAGTGGCTGTGTGGGAAAAATCCCCAACAGGCGCTGACGAGCTGCTGATTGATCGGCTGTGCGGGGAAACACCTTGGGAGGCGATGAGGACGCATACCTTGGCGCTGTGGTTGTTGGCGCCGCTGGCGAAGTTGGGCTGCTTCCAGTACGTGGGCGGCGCGATGGGGTAGCTGAAGCTGGGGTTGCAGTGGCCGCCGGGCGAGGAGCCGGACACGGAGCCGCTGCCGCTGCCGGTGCTGGGCTGCTGGGGCTGCGCCTGCTGCTGCTGCGTCTGGTGGTAGTTCTGGAAGTTGAGGTGGTGCGAGGAGTTGGACGGCTTGAGGTTGAGATTGTTGTGATGGCGCGTGATGCTGTGACTCGATGTGCCCAATGTTGTGGCAAGAACTGTGTCCAGACCGGCACTACTCGTTGTCCACACAGACATCGCTGCTCACCTGCAAGTCAGTGAGCGCCATTTTACCACAATGCACAACAATCACTGAGCTTTCTTCAAACAAATTCCAAATTGAGCTCATGAAGAGCAATTAAAATGCACTTTTAAATGCAGAAAAAGGGTGGGAGAGACACGAAAAAGGTGAGAAATGACAGCCCGATGTGGCGAGATGCTGGGAAATTGTAAGCAAAATGCAAAACATTGTCTATCTCATTCGCTTCTCTCCATGCAAAGCGTTGGCTAAAGTGAGACGACGAGATGTGGTTGTCATCATGTCATATGTTTGCACATCAATCGCTATCTCTGCCTCCCCATAGATGGCAGCATGCAGCATAGTGATGTTGCCTTCAAACTACATTAACGGTGGTTACATGAAAACTATTACACTGTAAGCAAAAAACTATCACAATTGACTTTAATTTGAAACTATTCTTCGCCCACATTTCATGTTATTACATAGTATCAAGGGGCAGATAATACAGTAGGAAGTTATTGAAAAACATACAATATTCCTTTCCTTCTTCTTCATAATAATTATAGTAATGCTTTTCTAGGTTATGTCACTCAATTAAGGATTTATTTAATGAATAATTTGCTTTCTAGCACATCAATTTTTATGTTCTAGTCGAGAAGTTTGCATATCGATGGAAGAATAAAGCTTTTACGTGTAAGAAACATGGCATTTTGGTCAAACATAACCTCAAAAATAATCATTTAAACTTAAAAAATGTGACTGCAGAAAACTGTTTAGACGATTTTAACTCTAAATCAGCTATTTTTAATTCAACAGACGATTTTGTGACATAGAAAGCTTCGAAACGAAGTCTTTGAAGATCTCTTAGTGATATTTTTGGGGTTATCGTTGGGAAAGATACCCAAAAAAGCGGTTTTTAGTCAATTATTACAGAAATATCATATGGAAACTTGAGAATTATTCTGAAAATAGTCTAAGAACCAAGATTTAAGGCATATTATCTCCCCCTTTATGAGTGAATCTATATAAATTTCCTCTCTGTGCAGCAGAAAAGTGTGCCATGAAGGCATTTCCTCCTCTTCCTAGATCACACTTGTCACCACCATATTTGATAACCGGTAATTTTCACCTTAGACATTTCGTTGTGCCTTGTGTGGAATAAATATAAGTTGATGTTTGCATTCAATTTCCATATTTGCTTATCATGGCTAAAAATGTTAATTGCCCAAGAGTGCGAAAGAGATGGAGAAAATGAGGCATAATTAATTTCAAGTATCAGCAAATTACTCTATTTACACATTTGGATGTTTTGAATGTTTTCCTAGCGAACTTTTCATCACTGCGAGATAGAAGAAGATGAAGAGAAAATTCCCCGTTTATCGCAATGTTTACAATAGGCAGAGTTTTTTTCTCACGTGGAAGATCAAATCGATTCATGCGAATAAATTCGCAAGTTGAAAATCCCCATAATAATTAATTTAGTGGGACAGAAAGATGATTAATGGGATTGCTGGTTTTTGGCTAATGCGGTTATATGGAAATATTGGGAAATATTATCATGTGTGTGTTTTTTTCCTGCGAAGAGTGATTAAACACTTGCGGTTGGTGTTGTGCGTGTTGCGGCAACACCTGTTGATTGGCAGTGAGCCAAAAAGAGAGCTTCTGTGTGTGTGTGTGGAAAGAAGATCTCGAGTGCAAAGTCTCTGTGCAGTTCAAGCTCAAGGTATCAGTAAAAATGTGGGAGGGAAAATGAGAAGAAGAAGTACAAAAGCTCAATGGCATTTGGACAGTGGCCAAGAGTCTCTCGAGAAGCACGAGATGATTCAGCAAAATCAGGGATTGAGATTAGTTGATAAAATGAATATGAAATTCTTCTGAAATGCGATGAATTGCAAGCAAAGATTTTATTAAAAATCTTTCACATGAAGAATTGCCATTTGCCTATCGCAAGACAAGCTGGTTTTTCATTTTTTAAACCTTCAAGATCACAAAATGATAAAGAGATTTTTGCTTAATAATTCTTTTAATGTAGATTTTGTGTAAAAAAAAAATGAAAAGCGTGAAGAACAAATTGAGTATAAATTTGAATACTCGTTTCTAGTTCAAAGACACTCTGATAAATCACTGAGAAATGGTGGAAAATTTTGCACATTCATTAGACAATTGAGAAGAATTACATGCGATGATATTGATATGAGTGAGACATAATTTAAACGTGATTGCACATGAGGACATGCAGTTACAATCGAGAAAATTCCTCATATTTTATGTCAATTCCATTGACGATCAATTAATTTCATTATGCAAATTGTGTTGATTTCTATCTGTGTTTTGCTCAGATGGAGTGCAAAAACCTCAGAAGAGAAAAAATGAGGAAAATACGTGACGTGAAAAAGTGTAAAAATCGTAAAAATTAATAATAATAGCTATGAAATGTCAATTTTATGGTTTATTTTCATTCCATCGCGTTCATCGATGTTATTGTTACGTAAAGTGTGAAGAAGTTTTGCAGTTAAAAAGCTCAGAGAAAAATGTTAATTAATCATTTTATTTCACATAAAATTTCATGATGAGATAAAATGCAGTATTTTTTGAACTTACTGAATAATATTTCAATATCAATTATGTAATTCTGTGTTCACTTTATTCATTTCATATTCTCTGAATATGAATTCTTTTGCCACACGTTTATAAATGATTTATTCATGCAGTTTTTGAGTTGATCTGGAGATAAAATACCATCAATTGGAATTTACAATGAGATAATAGTTACAATAGTTTGACGTGCATATGAAGTGTGAGGCAATTTTCTTCTTAATTTCTTACGGGATGTCCTGGAACATCTTGGAAATTCCAGTCAACTGAATTATTGTACCCTCTGGGCCACCCTGTGGTTATTATCCAAAACTACACACGAATAAACAAAGTGGAAATTGAAATTAGTCAATTGATATTCATGGAATCGAATCGTTTCTATATTATAATCTTATAACTTCGCCATAGTTTCCACTTTACTATTTCCACTTCGCCCTCACTTTGCCTCGTGCTGAAGCTCATTTTTCACACCGGCAACAAGTGAATTTCATCTTATATGTCATTAGCGACCGTATAAAGCTCTTGTCTTTTTTCCTGCACGCTTCCACTTTGGAGCACACTGAATGGCAAGGAAGCATTCTTCGTGTCTCTGAATACAAAATATACTAAATTAATTGGCGGGACATTCGCTGTGCGAGATGTGTTTGTTAGACGGGGGAAAAAAACAAGAGTGGAAATTGGCATAAAATTCAGTGGAATTTCGTGCCGATGAAAGAATTACCGGCCATTTTTGCTCATGCACTCCATAAATTGCATGGAAAATTGTAATTTAGTGGATGTTGAATAACACAAAAAAAACCCGCAGTTTCACAAAGAGGAAAAATATAGCGACAGAATTTGCAGCGATGAGTGAAAAATGATCTGCAATTTTAATAAAAATTGCACAGTAATGAGTTGTTCTGATACATTTTGCCCCTGGCGAATGGTTTCACTATGAAATTCATAATACAGACAGAATTTACAATTAATTCTGTGCAATTAGTGCAAATAACGACCTTCAACTTCAGACATCGTTTCATTTTGCGTGTTCATCTCATTTTTTGTCCCATCTCTTGAGCACATTTTCCTTCTGACACTCTCACAGTTTTCTTCCAGCTGAAGATAAACGGCGAATACATCATCTCAGGTGTAGTTGAAGGTGTGGAAAAAACAAGCTCTAACGAGACAATTTCCCTATATAACCCAGAGATAACGATGTCAGAACGAGAGGCGGAAGGTTTTTCTTTTCTCTATTTCGGAAAATTCTCAATGTTTTCGCTCAATTTGCATATTTTTCTTCCACAACACTGAGAATCGCGTCTTTAAGTGGTGTGAGAGAGAGAAACTCGCCTACGGCATATTTTTCTAATATTTATGCATGATTTATTCTATGACGCTGACTTGGGCAATCAGTGACGCAATCTTTCATCTTTTGTGGAGAGAAAACACTCTACAAATTTAGATGTTAAATTTGAGGAAAATAGGAAACACTCAGTCGAATCAGACAAGAATATTAGGTGTGATTATAACATGAGTTTTAATGGGTTTATCGTAATAACTTCCAAATAAATAGATGTGTGGAATTTCCAAGAGGAAAATAATGTGCCTAAAATCTCCACACAATTTCTATGAAAAATCCTTAGCACTTTCCAGGACTTCAGACTTCACGTATTATTAATAAAAAGACTCAAATCAATTATTAACCGAAAATTAACTAAAATCTAACTGAAAATTTTAAAACTCATGTTTTCATTCCATTTTTTATGATTTTCTTCCGCTGAAATTGCGCCTTAACGTATTTTTCTTGATCACAATTCTTTAATTAATTTCTTTTTTTTCTAACTTGTAATAGCAACAGTTTATTTAAAAAAAAATTGAGGTTATGTTTACTTCAGCTTCCAAAGTCATGATTTTCATTGAGTAAAAACACGGAATTCTACTAATAAAGTGAAAATACTTTCAATTTACGCACAAGAGTTTCTGCTTTAAGATGTTATTTAGTCTTAAATTAGTCACATAACCTAGAAAAATGTGTCAAAATTGAGATTTGGATGATAATTAATTTTCAAAAGTAAAATAATCAAGCGAAAATTAAAGCTGTGAATCAAATATTGCATAAATTGAAGAACTTCGATTAAACTTTTACTATTACATATCTCCCCCTTGGGAATTTCTTAATAAAAAACTTTATTGAATTTTTGGTACTCCAAATACCACCCTTTGATCACATTTAGAAGGAAAGCTTCTTTTTTTTTCTTTTAAAAAGGCAGAAACTTTAGGCGAAAGCTCAAGCGTGAAGATACTTGAAAACTTCTCAGATGTTTTATCTTTGATCCCCGAGAAGCCCTTAGACGCCGTGTATCGTGTTGCTGAAGCAATATGAGAATGAAGGTTCGCCCCTGATTTCCATATTCAAAATCCCTTTTCTGCACAACACTCAACATGGTGCTAAAATGCGAGGGTGAAGAATCTCTTTCTCTCTCTTGACTTTTTCTCGGCTGAGATTTTTGCTACTTCACATTTCAAGACGGTGCATTTTACAGATCACATGCAATTGACGTTAAATCAATATACTGTTTTTTTTCTCAAGAGCAATTTATTTGAGAGGATTTCTCTCGAGTGGAACAGTGAAAAATGATTATAGACAAGAGAAGAGAAAAAGGGGAAAAAATCTGCGGGCAAAAGTGTGAAATTGAACCAAGGTTCTAAATGAAATCATATATATATTCTCTTTGGCTTGTCAATAAAAACTCTGTTTATTCTGTGTTTTTTTTTTAGTTGATTCGCCCACATAAGCAGAGCGTGAATTGAGGTGAAAATAACAACTTGAATGGTTTTCTTATCAATTGAAAGTCCATTTTTTTTCTTCTCTTTTCCCAACCACTTGTTCTCGCTTTTAATTCAATAGTACGAAACAGAGACAGAGAGAAAACATAACATTGCCACTTAACCTCATCAGTGAATGCCAAAGATGTCACTATTGAGAGAAAAACAGTAGTTGAAGTCGACAATTAGTAACTTTATACTGCACAGTGAGAGTGAAAAATGAATACTGCACACTGAGGGAGGGGAAAAATCTTTGGAAGACTGACTGCAAATCTCGCAGTGACATCAAATTGCATGTGTGGAAAAAAATAACGCCACACCAGGCGAATATATTTAATTATAGATTTGGTATTGCCAACATTGCAATATCACATGGTATTTACATTAAAAGACCTGGTAAAGCACACAAAAGGTGGAACAATGCAGTAGCGTGTATTTTTTTTTCCTCTCTCGCACTCTTCATGGTGTGGGCGGACTTCTGGCTAAGATAGAAATATTAATTGAATTATACCCATAATTATGAAGAAAAACTCTGCGGAAACCCACATGGAGTGAATAAATGTAATTATGCAAAAATCTCGTATGAATAAAAAGGCTGAAAATGGGGAATCAATAAAGCAATTGACGCTGTTTTGAGGGGTGGCGAGCGTTGTGAAAATTGTCATATTTACCACTTCCTGTCGTCAATCTGGGGCGAAGTGTGACGGAGAAAAACGCGGGAAGCACTAAAGATTGAAAGGGTCGATAAGGAGGAGGTGAAATTATGGTGGGAAAACACGCGGATCCACTTAAACTGGAGGAAAAGCTCTCTCTCTCTCTGGAATGTTAAAGCATGTTCTTCTTTGACACTCTCACCGCGAAAACGACACACAGTTTATTGCACTGACGGAATTGAAGTGTCCTAAAGTCGCGCGCTCTTGCTTCTTTTTGGCTCAGTGTCAATTAGAGGGAAAATAATTCGATATTGAATTTGTTCTTCCTCGATTAATACTTTCAACGCCGTCCTGTCGAAGTGATGATTGATTTGAATTGCAATTGATGCGATACACGAAACAAGTTTGATTCTAATATTAACATTTCACTGCGGGTATTTTAAGGCGTCACACTGTGCGGCGTATCAGCAACTGATGTCTTGACAGCACCCACTTTCTAACTAGGCAATGAAATATCAATTAAAGAAAAACCCGCGATACGCTGAATCACACAAACACACGTGCTTTTTCCTCGTTCTTCCTTTTGCTGGGAAAAATCGACGAAAGTCCCACGAGAACAGATCAAGCGCTCAGAACGCGTCCGACGTCTGATAAGTTCAGAAACACTGTGCATGTGGAATTCTCGAGCTTTGGCGCGAGATGCTCCGCTTTGCTGTTCACCTTCGTTGCCAATCGAGACTGTATTATGTCGATTCTATGACGAGATTTTTTTCATTCTCCGTCTCGCCTCGCGCACACAAATGAGAGCTTAATGAGTGGAAGTCGAGAAGAAAGTGTGGAAATCTCACGACACTTTTCTGTCTTATAGGCTTGTATGTAAATTAACCAAACGTAGGCTTAATCACCAGATATCATATCTCACTTTTATTGTGTCAATTTGCTCGTCTTCGTCACAGAGAATGCAAAGACATTTGCATAGAGAAGAAAAGAGCTTTGGCAGATACGAAACACTGTGTTGAAGTTAGCGTTATCATATTCCTCAGCATATCTCGCGTTTATTCTTCCACATCGCAAACTGAAAGGTAAAGTGTGAGTCTTCAGAATTTACATGTACAGAATATTAAACCAATGTTTCTTTCATATTGAAGTTTATTGTTTTATTTGTCGCATGTTTCCTTGTCGTCCCAAAATGAGATTGTTTACCACGCGATTGCATCGTTCTTCTTGTGATTCAACAAGTAAGAGAGAAATTCTTTTAAAACTCCTTCTATGCACTGTGATTACCTCAAACACTTGCTTGGAATCTATCTTGGCATTTTGTCAAATTTCCAACTGAACTTTCATGAACTTGTGCGCGCGAACATTAAAAGATCCATCGAAGGAAAATAACACAAAGTTCATGTGATGAAATTGAGTGATTCGTTCATCACTTCAAATACCACAAATAAACTTGGATTTTTTGCGCACTGAGTTGTATTTTTCACCTGTAAAAATGGCCAGAACAGCTGGTGAGTGATTAAAATAGCAATTCACGCGGAGTTTGATGGTTTTTTTCTCGTATCGAAATGTCCACTTTTTTCTCATTCACTTCCGCAATTTCCATTTTTCATTCAGCATTTAGCATTGGCATTAATCAAGAGCAATATTGAAATATTGCCACATTTTTTGTTGTTGTTGTTGGACTCTTTTTCTGTGACAATTTTCACGTGGCGAAAATCCAGGTGTTTTTCACACAAATCCATCTCTTCAAAGGTAAATCCGTGAGCAACACAGGATAACAATTTTGTGTTTCCCGGGGGCGATAAAACACTTTCACCTTATCAAAGTCACAGAGAGCACAAGAATAAATCCTCAACTCTATTCAGAGATTAATTCATGAGACACATTGCAAGTGCCGAGCGACAGACCATTTCCACAACACATAGTTTTAATTAATACTCAATCAATTACAATAAGTGAACGATAAAATTGATCATCCACTTCGATTGAAGCTCTGCCACTTCAAGGCAGAGAATTTGTCGGTGCTTCAGATTCAGTATGCTGAAGAATTTACTTCCAATTAAAACTTTATGAGTACTTTATTTGGCAGGAGTATAAATAATCGGAAAAATAGTAAATGCTATCACCATTGTCTTTTCATTCTGTAGTTTTTTTTTGCGTCAAACAGCGGATTTTCTTTTTATCTGAACAACAGTTTCCTTTTTGCCAATGATAAACTTTGAAATTGGCCGTGATTTTGCACGTCAACCCAACATTTCTTGTTCTTTTGTATCACTTCAATGAGTTTATCTGTCTGACTTTCCGTTTTGTCTAGTGTATTGTGTCTGGGAGGGAAAATCCAAGGGGAAGATTACTTCCAGAATTTTCTTTTTTTTTCACAGTTTGCACACTGATTCTGAGATTATAATAAACATCTTTGGTTTACAACAAATATTTGAGTAAGAATTCACTGAAAACCGGGTTTTAGGGTGTTTTTTCCGAACATAACCCCAAAATATGACAAAGAGATCTTTAAAGACTCTTTTTAGAAGTTTTCTAGATAACAAAATCATCTGTTAAGATTTGTGATTGTCCAAAATTGTCCAGAAAGTTGTCTAAAATAAACATTTTCCATGTTTTAATGGCTACTTTTGAGGTTATGTTCCATCTTAAGACAATTTGCTGTGTTTCTTGCTATCAAACTGACGATCTATCTGACTTTAGCATAAGAATGAATGTGCTAAAAAACAAATTATTCACTAAATCTGTCCTAGATTAGTTACATAACCTAGAAAAGGATTATTTTGGGTGAAAATCGAGAAGATTTATCAGCGAAAGAAGCACTCAAGAATGGAATATTGTAAGTTTTTCAACACTTTCACTTCCACTGAGTTGTACACCACTCCTGACTGTATTATTCCCCCCTTGGGAAAAGGAGAAAAGCATCTTTTCCCGGGGAAACTGAGGGAAATATATTGGCTGTCGCGGAAAGGAACGTGTGACGGAGAACAGAAAAAGAGTGTCTGAAATGTAATAAAGTGTTTAGAGCTTGAGAATACTTGGTATTAATGACTCACAAACAATTTATGTTTAGAACTGTGAGTTGAAAGAGTTCACAGAGAGCAATTGCGGAAAAGTGTGCGAAAGAGGGAAAAACGTGGTGTGAAAATAAACAGAAAATGTCATAGACGGAAAAAGAGGGACATTTTGTGGTTGTTTGCAAAAAGTTTTTTGTCACTCAAATCACCATTTCCGCCTGAGAATTGAGAAAATTGCTGTGCTAATGTTGGCAAAACGGGTGGGAAAAAAAATTCATTTCCCGATGGCACAAAATTTAGTCAGGTAGTGTTGAAAATTGCAGTTATTTACGATCTCTGGCACACGAATTCTGTATACCTTTGGGCGATTTGGAGCGTGCGAGAGTTTCTTCACGGCAGAAAAGTCACTCTGGGGTGTCCTTTCTTGCATGAGACATCGATTATTTGAGGTCATCTCCGTGCCACACTCAATCTATCACCATGAAAAGATTGACTTTGTCATTGGCTCCAGACGTGCAAATGTGAGATGGGCAATAAAAGAGAATGAGAGCATCAATCACAGACTTTTCCTTCGCTCAAGAGAGCCGATATAAAAGCACCAGAGAACAAATATTTAGAGACAATCTTGATCCAATTTCAGGTGGATTTTCACAATTGTGCCGTAGGGAAAAATTTTTCGATATTGTCATGACAGGAAAAGGAGATTTTTTTCTCCAACATTGCTAAAGAAGATTGGCTGTTTTCTTTTTGTTGTTTGAAATGCTCCAAAATGCTCACAACTTAAGTGATATTTAGGGACTATTTTGATAATAAGTATGGAATTCTTTCTCTAAAAAGGTAAATTTTGAAATATTCGTAGTCAATTGAGTGAATATCATTTCCACAAATGCACGAGCAGAAGAATTGTGCGATAAATTCTATTGATGGTGGCATTTAAAATTGAAGTCATTTATCATTAAGGCATGATTACATTACGGATTTATGGGTGGTGGAGGATTAAATAAAAGAAGAGCGTGTGTATCGACTCTCAAACTGCCGAAAAAGTATGAGCTTCTGTTCTGTGCGAGTGAATTTCCAACAAAACATTCGAGCAATAAGTCAATTGTGGAGAAGCGCGTCGTAAAATGGGTATTTATTGTTCGCGTTTTTCTCTCATTTTGTGTGATTCTTTTTTTTCTCTCCCTCAGAAAAAGCGTTGCTTTTTTCCCACCCACTGTTTATCACTTGTGGTCAGTGTTGAATGCCAAAATCAGTTGAATGAGTCTAACAAATTTAATTTTATAGTTTAGGATTGTTGAATTAGAAGTTTCTCTCTTCCTGACATGCGAGTTTTTGATGGCGAGAGAATTCTCCTCACGAGCAATATCGTGTGGTAATTTACTGTGGGAAATTTATTGCTGAATTTGTTCCTCTGCTCATGCATTCTGTACATTTGGCATGATTTTCCACTGGAGCATTTTCTTGCCATTCTCATTGTCTATTGTAAGTTTCAAGGTGAACATCTTGCAGCGAAAAGATGCTCATGCAAGACGGTATTCGGAAGGTTTATTGAGAAATTGTATGCATTTCATTTCGCGATGCAATTCTTTGCGCAAAAGTTGTGGTGCTTTAAATTTAGTTTCAATCAAAAATGAACTGAAATCTAACCGAAATGTAATTGATAAATTTTATAACTCTGACTACAGACTACATTAAATTAATTAATTATTAATTAGAATCTTTATGGGTAAAAAATTGGTCTTGTTCCATGCTGAAAAGACTACAAAATTTATTTGATGTTCAAAAGCAGAATAATTCAATTTCCACTCAAAGTTTGGCAATTTTGTATCTTCAATAGTTTTCTCTATAAAGTTTTCTCTGCTTTACTTACAAATGAAATGCTTAAATCGATAATTGCGCATATCACTTCAAGTCTCTCACATAAAACTTAAGCGTCTGGGTGCAATTGAGCAAAGAAGCAAAATGTTTTTCACTCTGAATCTTCCAGCAATAGTAAAACGATATGTTGTTTTTCTTGCAAGAAACTCTTAGTGAAATTGCAATTTGAGGAAACAAATTGTGTGCTTTCCCAGAGAATTGCATGTAAAAGAGCAACTGCGAAAGTTTTCCACGTGAAAATATTGATTTGGAATTAATTGAAAGCCAATTATTGAATATTTTGGGGGGGCTTTTGTAGTTAATTTGACTTGTATTGCGGAGTGTGTTTGGCTTCGGTGGACTATTTCTTGTGCTGAATTTCCGAAAGTGTAACAGTTTTATTGGTGTTTTTTCTCTCTGCTTGCCTCCCTCAAGACTTGATTAATTGAGAATTATGTGTGTCTTGAGGATGAGCGCGGGTGAGGCGCTCAATGAATTAAAGATGCAAGGCAGAATTTCATCTGTATATTAAAGTAGCAGCTGTTAAGAATTTATGTGGAAGAATATTTTTCTCTATTTTCTCCTCGTCTTCTTCTGCCGTCTCTCAACACGATCATCCGGCACAGTCCGCAACACTCCGGGGGGTTTCCCAGCGCCGCCCATCGTTCACCACCCCATTGTGAGACGGTGAATTTCCACCGGTGGTCTCGTGGAAAAGCGCTCCGCTTGTATCAGAATGTACTTGAGAGATTGGACGGCAGATGGGAACGTGAGTTCATGAATTAACTGTCGAGGAGAGTGGCTGGAGTGGTGCAAATGTGGAGATTTTAATACTCGCCTTTTCCCTCTTCTCAATTCCACTGTTTTTCTGCCCACCGTTCGCCGATGACCTGTCCAGGAACAGGTGTGTGTCAGCGCCAGGAATTCCCCCCAAAGCGCTGCTAAGCTCTTTTGGCAAAAAGCTGTGCTGCATTTGATATCACACAAAAGTGAGCATCAGACTTTTCTCCCTAAATATAACTCCGATAATTGGTTTATCTCTGCTTCGTCCAATTGAGGGAAGAAACATCAAATCTTGAACATTGTGTTCTCGCACACTTGAGCAGATGCACAGAAACTTTTTTCCCACCATCCATCGAGCATATTTCTCATTCGTTGCTTTTATTCTGCAGTGTCCTTTTTTACATTCTCCCATGTTCAATATCACATAACGCTGCACAGAAGTTAGTTTCCATTCCAATTTCACACTCTTGTATATTCTTTCTTGCCGCCTGAGATGAAAAGCTCAAAGACTTCCTCTCTCTGGCAATGCCAGGCAAAAGTTTTGCAAGTTTTTTTTTCCTTGAAAAGCGCGCCCGAGCAGTGTGAAAAATACATTTGAAATGATGGCGTGAAACATGAAAGGAATTTTCAAGAAGGGAATTTTCGTGCTCACAACTTTTTAATTACATCACAGCATTAGCATATTTCGGCTGAGTTTGGCTGAAAAGTGGCTTATTGAGCATCTATTTTATGACCACTTTGGCACTCTTGCTCCAAGACACCTTTTATTTCGTCAAATTTACATGATGAAATGCTGCTTAGAATGCGTTCTGGGTGCATTTTTAGTGGAAGTTGAGTGTATATTTCTCACATAAAAGCGCGATTTTCTGGCTTCGTTCCAAAGATTTTTATCCTTAGAGAGATTCTCAACTCGGATATTATTATTATTTGCTGACTTCATGCTGAATGGCATTCAAGACATTCCAACTGTTTGAATTAATTGCTCTCAATTATTCCTCCTTTTCAGGCACTTTCTGACTGTGCTGAATTCCGCAAAAACTTTCCATGGAATTGACTGTGACGCGCAAAATGACAATTGCAATCATGAAGCAGGAGTTTTGCAATTTGGCGAATTCAATTTGAGAATTGAGCCAATTATTTGGTGTAACAGAGAAAGGGAAATTCAGTGTGTAAACATACGTGAAACACAAGGTTTGCTTAATATTTCATGAGGCGAATGTGATAAAGATTGAGAATGTCACACAATTCTCGTCCCTCTCGGGGGAAATTGTGAGTGGGTGGCAAGTGAAAAGTATATACATGCTTGCATTCAGAGACACACGTTCGCTTTTATGCTCCCTTGATTGAATTAGGGATGCTAAACTTACTGTCACTTTAACTTGTAGTGCAGACAGATTTTATTGGTAGTCAAACAGTGGCAAAATGTATTATTTTTGCTCCTTTGGAAAAATATGAAAAAATTTGCCAATGATTCCATAAATCAATAAAACCTACAATTGCGATCATGTTCAAGGAGTTACACAGTTTCTGTAATTCCTTTGTCAACAATTTTTCCACTTAGTCAATAGACGATATTGACTCATCTTCTTTGTATATTCAAATTCGCCTATTGTGCGTTTCACATTTCCACCCTCAATTTTTTGTGTTATTCTCAGCAAACTCGCGTGCGCGCATTTTCATAAATTTCCGGAAATATTTCATTACGCCCTATCGCGATGTCGGATAGTGTGGTTGGCGAAGTTGTGCTAACTTGTTGCCACTCTCTTGTCCTCTGCCTTTTGTCTTTTATTGTTCTGTTTATCGGGATTTCTGCCACTGCTTCACACACTGGCGGTATCATTGCTTTGTTTACCGCACATCCTGAGCGATAAAAAATAAATGAGCTTCTTCACGCGGGCTTTCACCAGGCGCCTCCATTGAATTTCAGTCACTTGCGGCCGCACAAAAGAGATTGTGTTTTTTTTTATTAGGCATGTTCTATAAGTCGCGCTATGTATAGAGATAAAAATGGAACAGTTTTCGTATGGAAATGAAGTTTCAGCTCTGGGAATGTTTTAAACAATTGACAAGATGTATTGAATCTATCAAAACTTTCTTATGCTCTATCAAGAAAGTTAAGGAATCTTATTGGTCTCAATCATATTTTGTACTAAAATAAACGAAAAATTATTAAAAACTAAACTTGCCTTTCAAACTTCATCAGCTGACGATGAAAGCGGGCTTTTTCTGCGCGAAAGTTTTATGTTCGCACTCAAATTTCCTTCTTTTGAGTGTGAGAATGCATAGCGTTCCCCACGCCATCTTTGCTGCCCTCTGGTGGGTATATGGGGTAAAAATAATGCAAAAAATTACTGAAAACTGTATAGAATAATCAAAACTAAATAGAAACCATGAAAAATTATTGAGTAAACACAAAGCTAATGGTCTGAAATCGCCAGTGACTAAACACAAAAGATGTGAAGTTCCTCAGACCCTCGCTAGTGGCTCTGGAGTCGATGATTGTGTTACCAGAATGCTGCCATGCTTTGTTTTCAAGTGACAATCACACTTCGGTTTGGCCAGAGAAAGTCCAGTTCACACATCGGCCGAGCTACGCGGGTGCTTATCAGTGTTCTTGAGGGGGTGGGATTGGGTGGGGGTGGTGAGAGCGTCCATTGCTCTCATGGTTGGCTTTTTTGCGTGACTCTCACACGTCATTGCCGTGTTGAGCTCTTGCCTGACCGCCACGCTCTTGTCTCTCAATTTCAGGGCACCCGATCGTTTAAAGTCACGCTCTCGGGTGTGGGGCGCGGGGAGGGGGGTGGCTGTGTGGGCTCTCTCCTCGGGGGAGAGCCGCTCAACGTGAAAATCCACACGGCGGCGCACTCGGAGAACGCCAAGAGCGAGAGAGCGAGAGAGAGAAAGGAGAGAAAAGAGTGTATCGGGTGTTGAGCTATTCACAGTGGAATTCGATGCTGCCTCGGCCGGAGAGAGTGAGAGACTGACGTCGCGACGTGGTGAGGAAAGAGGCAAACATGGGGAGACTCTCTCACCCATGAGATACTAATATATACATGTTGAATATTTGACAAAAGTTGGTGGTTGGCAGTGCAAAATGGGACTTTGGCGCGAACGGATGTTGTGTTTCTCGTCTGCACAGAGTTAGCATCCAGAGTGCTTGGTGGATCATTTTCCCAGCCACATATATATAGCCGTGGGAGAGGGCGAGCGAGAGAGAGAGAGAGAGTGTGTGAGAGGATGCCAATGGGTGTGAGTGAGAGAGTGGATACGCAAGGATATGAAGAAAAAAGATAAATGAGAGTGTAAAATTTACCTCGAGTGTGTGTCAAGAATGTCACAGTGGTGGTATTTTTGAGTAATACTTAATAGTTGGTGTGCGGAGAAAAGAGTCCAGCATCGAGTTGAAGAAAAAAACAACTCACAAGGAGGATTTCCTGCGAAGGGCAATTTCAAGTGTAAGGATTTTCCCAGAGCACATATTTTCTTACCCATTGTGCAGGGTCTGTCTAACCGCGCGTGTTGAATCACGCGTGCTTGAGGGGTGGCTGTTTTTTGCGCGAAATCGCCAGACAAGAGCGAAGCTAATGAGAAAGTTCGTGGTAACTTTTCATTCAGCAGCGCACTGATAATTTCGTCAGGTGAAGAAGAGAGAAGATTAATTGCATGGCTGATGTGTGGGAGGGTTTTTCTTCTCCTGCAGCAGAGCCACTCAAGATGCAAATCCTGGTCTATATATATATATATATACGTGATGGGTGAAGATGGGTGGGAGGAAAAGTATGCAGTCGCAGCATTGTTCATTAGCGTGGGTGTTCATTTTTGCTCTTGTGTATTTCTATGTTCAGCTTCGTTATCGTTTGCACCTGATTTTACCCAGTCTTATTCCCATGTGGTGGAGCGCTCCAGAGCTTTTCATCCCCCTTTTCCCCACCTCGTGTCCCTTCGTTCGCCACCCTTCAGCGTGCGCTCGTGCTCCTGGTGAATATTGAGTCCTCCTGGTATTTTCATACATCCGGCGATGATGCTCTTCGCCTCTCACTCACACGAGGCGCACACCGATGCCGTCAGTCCTGGGAGGATGTTGGCGAAAACGTGCGCCAGAGTGGGACAATGAGACTCTCCCGATGTTTTCTGTGCGTTCTCCCCGTTCAGGTTTTGTGTATCCAATGTCGTGTATACAGGAAGAGACATGGTGAATGCTGGTGGGCTGATGAGAGGGACTTGCGCCAAAAATGAAAAAGAGGAAATATGTGTATTGTGTATGTTATTCCACCATATATAGGCACATATTCCCATATATATATCTCTCTCCACTTTCCTTGTTTATGCTGTGGAGGATGAGAGAAATTTCTCTGCAGTGATCATGAGATGAGAGAGAGCGAAATTTCCGCCCCAAAAGCCTCTTTGGGGGCTCCTTTTTGCCAACTTTCCCGTCTCGACAGAATGCTGAAATAATTGCCACAGCAACAGATTTAATAAGTCATTGGATTTGCACGCTAGTTTGTCGAGCATTTCTCTTCCTTTCAAAGCTCACTGGCAAGTTTTTCAGGTGGTTTTAGCACGCTAAAATGGAGGTGTTTGAATTTATTCTGTACTGAGTGTTAAATAAGAAGAAATAAAACACCAATTTGTGCGCCAATATTGTCCTGGCAACACTGTGAGCGTGAAGAGAGTCTTTGTGGATCATATGGGTTGGTTTTCGTCGACAGTGGTGAAATATGGTGACGTTATTTTAGTCTCTGGGTTAAATGAATTTTCTTTGCCAAATATATCAACACACGAGCAGATGAAAGGGGAGGAATTTGAGCCTTTGAAATTCAATACAGGATCATCGATTTTATACCAACACTCGGCGTTTTATCTCTTCCTGAACATTGCTTAGTACTAAAGTCTATTTTTTCTTCCTCCAAAATCTCCAAGTCTTTGATGGGCAAATCCGTTGTTATTCTTTCCATGCCGCGAGCATGAATTTTTCCTTGACTCACGCGCATCGTGCGCGTATTTTCGGGTGGAAAACACACACACAGAGTGATGAAATTGCGTCTGGTGAGGATTTAAATTGTGTGACATTCGAGGGTGCGGGATTATGTGGTGGGAATTAATTTGAGAATCCCTTTCTCTCTCCTCCACTGGAATTTATTGTGTGTGTGTTGCAATTTAAATGCTAACTTGAAGTGTTTAGTTACACAAAATGGCAATTTTGCAGCGTTAGTTTTAACGAGTGTCCACGAGCAAGGGTCACTCGTGGGGGTGGATTTTATTCAATTTCTGTACTGGATAATTTCCCTGGGCAAAGAATATTTTTTCGGCGCTCTATTTGGTGTGTGAGTCACATAAATCATTCATTCGCAACATCAAAAAGAAAATATTAATGCTTCCCCCCCCCCACAAAAAGTCGTTGTTAATGCTGAACATGCCGTAAATTTTGGAGTCTCATCACAATTTTGTCGATTTGTTATGACAAGCGGTAATAATTTTGCATTATTTGACTCTTGATTTCCCGTTTTGCTTGTGTGAATGGCAATGGTGGCCTTTTCTCCTTGTTCGTCGTTGGGAAATTCAATGAAAATTCCTTTGGCAAATTTGATGGATGAGCCCAAAAAGAAAAAAAAAACTTTTCTCAACATTCGTCAGAAATACAATAATTGCTGGCCGAAGAACCTTTTTCTCCGCTCTCTCGGATGAAACCATGACAAAGTCAACAGCTGATGCATAGCAAACTTTTGTATGCGGGTCACAAGAATCGTCCATACAATATTTGCGATTGCGTGTTTCGGGCTTTCGGCACAGGCCTTAATGGTATGTGCAAAGTTGCTCTCGCACTGTCTCCGACAGACTCATGGCCGGGGTTGTGTTTGAGCAGAGTGCGGTTAGTCGTACAATAAAGTCAATAATAATTGATTCCATTGCCATGAGAAAGTTTCACCCTCACCAAAAACAACCTCACCAATTATGGTAGTTCTCAAGGGAGGGATTCTCTCTTGTGTGGGTGTGTTTTACTTTTGGGGAAGATGAAGAAAAATCCCCCAAACATTACCAAACACTCAACTTTTCTCACTCTCTCACTCTCTCTATATCATGACAAATTAACTTTTCCATCTGATCAGGGATGAAAAGCATCCACACGAGCACGGAAAATTGCTCAGCCTGAAATATATTTTATTATTTTTGAGATCTTCAAGATTATAAATTCGGCGTATTCAAAAGGAAAATTGTGAAGTCAAGACAAATAAACAAGACCGCAGAATATATATACAAACTTTCAGAATTACTTGCAACGTAAGACTTTATCAAGGGGAAGATAATACAGTCAGAAGTGGTGTACAATTCAGTGGAAGTGAAAGTGTTGAAAAACTTCCTGAATGCTTCTTTTGCTGACAATTTCCTCGATTTTTTACGTAGAATACTCATTTTCTGGGTTATGTGGCGAATCAAGGACAGATTTAATGAAAAATTCGCATTCTAGCTCATCAATTCTTCAAAAATTGACAGAATTAAGCATTTGTATGCAATAAACATTGCTATTTTGAACTTTTGATGCCAAGAAATGCTGAAAATTGAGCAATAATCAAACATAACCTCAAAAATAGTGATTTAAACGTGAAAAATGTTTGTTTAGAAATCCTTCTTGGCGATTTTGACTTAATTTGGACTTGATTTTGACTCTCAATCCGACATTTTGTGTTAATGGGCTTTAATTAATCTTTTAGCGATGTTTCTTTTAGGTTTGGTCGTAATTTATATCCAAAGAGATCGGTTTTAAGTGGATTTGCACAGAAATATAGGACGGAAAATTCAGAATAAATGTGCAAACTGTCTAAAAATTTCTAGTGTTAGAAGTTTTAGAAAGTGGGGTACAGAATTAAGGCATATTATTCTCCCCTTGGGTTTTACTTGATGAGATTATATTTAATTATAACACTTGGATTTCTAAATTATTTTATTTTTCACGCCAACTTTCGGTCAAAGTTCCTTATTTTTCTTCACGATGCTTCGAAATAATCTTGAAAATTTTATTATGAGTCAAATTATGGGATTAAATTGTTAATAAAGCATAAAAGTGAACGATTCATTCTGAGTGAGTGTGTGTGTGTAATTCATATAAAAGGAATCGTTTATCCCCTTGATTAATTTTACCGCAGTTCCCGCAGATTAATTGAAAGTGAAATAGCTCCTCGTCGCTCTGAAAATTGTTGACATAAAAGCTGTGCGTATTTTTGAAAGAGCCATAAAGGAACAAAGTATTGTTTATTTCCAAAAAGCCTCTCTTTATACACGATATTTGGTGTAAAAACCACTCACTCAAAACAATACACGCTGGGGCGAATAAATGGGGAAAGATTATGAGATTTTGAGGCAAATTTTATGAATAATAACTTTTTATCACGATCATTTGTAATCATACAGATAAACAATTGGCAGACGGTCCTCTCTTAATAGCTCACATCTCGCCATGTTTTATGCTGCGCGAATGCTCTATTATATATGTACATATTGAGAGAGAGAGTGAATTATTTTTTCCCAATAATTTGGCTCGCTTCGGCGTTTGGAGGAAATCTCCAGCGAGTGACCTTTGCTCTACGCATTCACACTGCAGTGAACTATATTTAACAGATGGAATTTCGGCAGTGTGACGTCACGCTGCTGGCGAGACAGCTCTGTCCCAGGAAATGATGCCAGAGTGCGAAGTGTTGAGGTGAGGCATTGGGAGACGAAGGAAATTGCGCCATCGGCGACATCAAGCACGCGATGCCGCCTGGTGTGGAGATAAAAGGCGGAAAATCTCTCGGGTTTTCCACCCCGTGGCAATCATTGATTTATCTATCCTCAATCTGAGGCTCAGCCGATTTCCTCCCTGGCATTCGCAATTTGATCGCGGCCAATTTTCAACCCCAAAATCGATGGCATCAATCAACGAGCGAGGCTGTTGATTTATTGTGAACTCCAAACAATTCCACACACTTTCTAGATTCTCTACACTCTGTGTGTGTTTATTTTTACACACATTCAATTTGTTTATGCAACTTCTGCGCTGTCTTTTCGATGCTCATTCGTGCGATGGTTTATTTTTATTTTCAGATTATTGAATTCCTCTTTCAATTAATTATCCGCACACCTTCGCTCTTGTTGTCTGCGTCGGAGAGATGTGAATGGACGCGGTTGAAATCTTGGAGAAATTTTGCAAAATTAGATATTTCAGAACTTTGAAAAAATTTTATTTTACTTAGGGGAAAATCACTCGCAATTTTATATCATTACCTTTGTAATTATTCCATAATTTCTTGATTTTCCATGAAAATTTCAATTATTTTTTGATTTTGCCAAAAATATTCAAATATTTGATTGTTTTTTGGTTTTTTTTTAATCATTTAATATTAAAAGCCTCTAAAAAAGAGGCGTTTAAACACCCCAAATTAAGCCATGAGCTAAAATTGTTGTATGACAAACCTAAAAA